TAAACCTCAATCCCAAATTTATACGTGCTGAACATTTGTCTGGCGGCATAACAACATTAAGAAAATAACATTACAAATATAACATTACAAAAAATGACCAAATAAAAAAAAATCAGTACACTCTAATCTAACAACAATCTGTAAAGCCTAATAAACTCAATAGACGTAAACACTACTAGAGCTTAGAAATAGCTTCACAAAAGAATAGACATGTGAGTGTGTATCGTGTCATTTCAACACGTGATCATATAGTGGAGCAGCTCTCACTATCTGACTTCTGACAAAAATCTGGCTGGCTTGACTTAATTGACTGACTTCACTTTTGACTTCAGTAACTTGACTTATTTCACTTTAACTGACTTCAGTAACTTGACTTATTTCACTTTGACTGATTTCAGTAACTTCACTTATTTCACTTTGACTTCAGTAACTCAACTGACTTCAAATTAACGACTGATTTCCTCTGACGACTGACTTCACATGACGACTAATTTCCTTGACGACTAAATTCTCTTCACTGCGACAACTAAATCGACTGACTTCATAGACCTCTGACTGACTTCGACTTCAATTCAACTTTAAGGACTTCACTGACTGACTTAAACTTCGACAACTTAAACGTCTTCACTTTGACTTCAAAGACTTTTTCTTGACTTCAACGACTTCAATATGACTTCAAAGACTTTTCCTTGACCTCAACGACTTCAATATGACTTCAAAGACTTTTCCTTGACTTCAACGACTTCAATATGACTTCAAAGACTTCACTTTGACTTCAACAACTTCAATATGACTTCAAAGATTCACTTTGACTTCAACGACTTCAATATGACTTCAAAGACTTCAATATGACTTCAAAGACTTCACTTTGACTTCAAAGACTTTTTCTTTGACTTCAACGACTTCAATATGACTTCAAAGACTTCAATGACTGGCTTAGATTAACCTTACTTCAACTTCAAAGACTTTAACTTTGACTTCAAAGATTTCAACGACATCACTTTGATTTCAAAGACTTCACTATAACTTTGACGATTTCACTTCTTTACTATGACCTCAACGACTTTAATATAACTTCAAAGACTTTTCTTTGACTGCAACATGACTTCAACTACGACTATGACCTCAACTACGACTTCAACAACTTATTGACTGACTTGACTGACTTCAAATAACTTCTTTGACTTCAGTTCTGACTTATACTTCACTGACTTCAATAACACTATTGACTTCAGATTGACTACACTGACTTCAACTTCAACTATATCGACTTCACGCCGATTTTCTCGACTACTTAGATTAACACAAAAATACTCGACTTGACTTCACAATTATGTCCGTTGTTCAAAATCATTTATGGAGACGGTCCGGGTCACATTCTTGGTCATGGGGTTGATGTTCTAGGGCAGTTGCGTGTTATCTATGTGCTGTACTTTCCGTTTCACTAATTCTATCGCTAACTATGCTTTTGTTCTTGACATGTTTTACTATCTTGACTATCTTGTTTTCTAGCTTATTCTCTACACATGTTTCAACTTCTTCTCCTGTTTTGTCTAATGGTATGCCATGTTTATAGCATTGAAACTCTGCCTCCATGGTTGTGTATGTGTATGTGTGTGTGTTGAGGAAAGTCAAAATAACTAAGGCAACAGGGCGTAACATAAGAATGTATAAGGCAGAAAAACCGCTGGCACAAACTATCCAGCACGGGTATAAACCCAAACGTTTAAAAAAAATGATGGAAGGTACTTATCTTTTTGAACATGGTGACTGTTCCCTTGTATTGGTAATCCAAACTCGTTCCGGTTGAAGAAACCCGCTGTTGTGTTGAGTTAGAGAAAGCAATACACAAGTCGTACTCCGTCATGAGTAACTGATATACGTTCTTTCCCTTACTCGATCCGCGGTTCGTCCCGAGCTCCGCCAGATGTGAGGGTGAAGATTTTTAAGAAGGCGTCACGAATGAATCCAATAACACACAGTTTAAGTTCCAAAACAAGGTTCTTTATTAAAATGATATATATGTTCAAGTTTCTACCTAACTGATCTACACTGTACTATTTACTTCTACTACTGACTGTTCATACCACATGCTACCTACTACTGCTGCTAACTGTTCACTATACTACTAACTACGCACTCCCATGACCAATCCTAACACTAACTTTCTGTTCCCTAGCTCTACATTTTACGACCGTCTCTAACCGCTTCCTAACACCTTCTCTATTCCTCGCTAGCTAATCATCAACTGCTGGCCTATCTCCCTACTGACCCACGCCTCAGTGGTCAGCTGATCGTCCCACGTGACCGGTCAGTCCTGTGCGCCCATTGGCCTCTCTAACCAACCAACTAGGCCTATAGTCTGTTTCTGCTAACCTATATCTGCTAAACATGTCTGACGTAATCTTGCGTCATCACACTACGCCACAGTATTATATTACTAAAACGTGTCACGCACCATGACACACATAGGTCACCAGTCACATGTTTATGTACAATAGGAGACGAGTAGACAATACAGTGACTAGGATGTTTACAAAGACTGACGTGTACAGTGATATAGGGGATCAATCCACACAAATATTGAAGTTTAGACCCTCGAGCCCCACCTTTTTGATCCCACTTTGTCCCCTCGCCAGGTTTTAATCCTCGGATTTCGAACACAAGAACGAAGGATTCAAAGTAAGTATAAATAACGGTAAATACCCGTCTCCATAGCTCAGGGGTCGTGAGTTCAATCCTCACTGGGGGCTGTGTATCGTTGAAGCGATCTGCTGCTCCAACTTAAAAAAAAAAAAATTCTGCTAGTTACCACATAGTCTACGTGCTCATTATTTACATTTTGGAATATTTATGATAGGAAGCGATGGAGTGGGTGCGTTGTATGAACCTGGTTAACGGGGCTATTAAGACCATAAATACGAATGATACATAGTCCTTGTGATAAGAAAACATCTCGTGACGTCCACTGCTCTGTCAAGACCATGGATCCGAAACAGTATCTATATATATAATTCTCTTCTGGGAGACGTTAGAAAACAAGCTGTAAGCGCGCCGAGCAGTCCCCTCTTTTCCTCTCTAGGCATATTGCAATCACCCCCCACACCCACATGGTCTGGTGAGCTGTAGTTCACGCTAAATGTTTACATCGTAGAGCCGGGTTTAAAGACGGGTATTAGGGGGAGATAATTTAGTTTAAAACTATTTTATACTTAGGGGAGGTTACTAAGTGGAGCTGCTTTCACGTGGGTGGGGGTGGGGGGGGGGGGGGCATAGGGGTTGGGGGAAAGGAGGCTTTTAGTGTTTTAAAGCAAATATTTTCAGTGGCAGCATTGGTACTGTCGAATTCACAAATTATGAATTACTGAAAAGTAGAAAATAAAAACTAAATAGCGGCGTATGATACGCCGCGGGTCGGCTAGTTTAATTTAAACAGGAATTTTAAAAGACAATACATCTCCTGGTCCTGACAGGCTGACGTCCAAATTTTACAAGGCTGCTCTTTTTACTGAGACGTGATCAGGAAAAGGCTTTTGATAGAGTGTCACATTGTTTTTTTTTTATTTAACACAATACAATGAAAACATGTAGAAGCTTTCTTTGTACATTTTAAAATATTATTCATCCATTGTTTTTTATAATGATAATCATAACAAAGCCTTTTCACATCTCTATAACTTCTAATGTCAAACTCTCAACTTAACAACTAAAACATCATGGTGTGTGGGGTGGGTGGGGTGGGGGTGGGGGGTGGTGTGTGTGTGTGTGGGGGGGGGGGGTGGGTTGGTTTTAGTTTAGAGAAAAGAGACAGCACTATCAACCTAGCGCCCGGTGTATCCTTCCTCAACGGGCCATTTTTCTCGTATTATAATAATCGTGTTATTAGTATTGTTAAAGTACGCTTTTGTACCATACCACGATTTTGTAAGCTATGTCAATTATTTCTGGATCCCTTACATAAGGGACAAAATCAAATTAAAATTACAGTTAATGTAGTTTACTTAAAGTATAGATTTAGCTGGTTGCTAAGGTATAATGGGTGATTAAGATTCCATTATTTTACTAAAGCTAATGGGTCGCTGTCGTTCATAAAAGTAGCATATATATTCAGCGTGTACAGTAACAATACAATACAATACAAATATTTAAAGTTAACAAAAATAAATAAAATGCAACTTTATTTCAAGAGAAATTCAAATACTAGTGAAAATCTTTATGTGATATACTGTCTGTAATATAAAGAAATAGTCAGTCATGGCTGTCATTTATCTCCTATTTTCTTACATACCCAGGTTAAAACCACTTCAATTGTTTCTGTCACAGGCACAAGTAACATTTAAATCTACTGAATAGTTTAAGTAGACATCACTATAAACGATAACAAAGTTGCTTGTGTATATCTGGACTAATGCAAAAATTATAATGTTATGTTTGCTGTTACGCCATTACAATATACATAGAGTAACATTTAAAGCAATTAAACAATATATTACCTAAGACTAACCAGTGTTAGAGTAAATAAACACTCAAGAGCACTTTAACATGTAAACTGAGCCAACCAGTTCGTAACTTACATCGCTTTCCTTTGAACATCTTATCCAGTTCGTTACAACGATATACACGACGCGTTGGTTTAGAAATACAATAAGTTATGTTTTTAAAATGTAAAGCTGTCTTCTTTAAATAATCTTCTATTGTTGCCCGACAGAGAGAATCTTAGCACACCTTAAGTTACCCACATAGTGTATTACAACCCCTATGAAAATCATTTTAAGTTTAAAAAGGGGAATAACTTTGTGAAGTTTCCTAATTTAAAAACAAAATACCAAAAGTAAGTAATTATGCATGGCAGTTATATGTCCTTTCTAATTTATCTTTAAAAATTATGTTATTGTTGATAAATTATAGCAACAACTTTTTTTTTCTTAAAAAATTACCTTCACTCACAGTAAAAGCATATCAGCTTTGAAATAAAATTTACTAATAAGTTAAGTTGACATTTAATCCTGTTCAATATTACAAGCCGTAATTTTTGGAACCCTATTGGAGGATGGGCATTTGTTGCATTTGGGCCAGTGTCCATTCGGGAAATCGGCCTTATCCATAGCAGCATAGCCTAATCCTATGTTGAGGAAAGCAGCGACAACTTTCTTGTTGATATCGTAACACCTGTCGCTGCTACTCATTTTGGAGCTTGATCCTGCTGCTATGGAGGAGTTGCACACTGTGCAGCTGACTTCCAGTTGATGCGCTAGACCCTTGCGTCCAGTCGAAATAAGTTGCAAGGGCCCTAGACATGTACTGCACTGAGCTGCCGAAAAGAGGGCGTTTACTTCAGCCAGGTCCACAATGACCAGCCCTCCAACTGTAGCAGCTTGAGGTGCTTCACACTGAGAAAACATGTTAAGTTTTCTCTTGGAGGCACTGACCACTGTGGGGATGGTTGTAAATCCAGCAGGAGTAGTGGCAGCAGTGGATGTAGTGGCAGCAGTGGGTGTAGTTGCAGCAGTGGATGTGGTGGCTGCAGTGGCAGCAGTGGATGTGGTGGCAGCAGTGGCTGCAGTGGATGTGGTGGCTGCATTGGATGTGGTGGCTGCATTGGATGTGGTGGCTGCAGTGGCTGCAGTGGATGTGGTGGCTGCAGTGGCAGCAGTGGCTGCAGTGGATGTGGTGGCTGCAGTGGCAGCAGTGGCTGCAGTGGATGTGGTGGCTGCAGTGGCAGCAGTGGCTGCAGTGGATGTGGTGGCAGCAGTGGCTGCAGTGGATGTGGTGGCTGCAGTGGCTGCAGTGGATGTGGTGGCTGCAGTGGCAGCAGTGGCTGCAGTGGATGTGGTGGCTGCAGTGGCAGCAGTGGCTGCAGTGGATGTGGTGGCTGCAGTGGCAGCAGTGGCTGCAGTGGATGTGGTGGCTGCAGTGGATTTTTGCTGCTTGGTAGCACGAGCCTTAGCCAATGTAGCCTTCTGCTTTCGGGAAGCCTTTCCCTTTTTTGCATACTTTTGTGCAGGCATTGTAGATCTGTAAAACAAGTCATAATAATGTAAAAGCTGTTTAAAAAAAAATCACAACGTACTAAAAGGTATGCACATTATCTGCATACATTGATTACATTCAACTATGATTCAACCTTTGATAGCTAGGCTAAGACTAAGATCTAGTTACGTAGTAAATTTACTAGATCTACATCAAAATCTACGTAAAATCTGGCATCTAAGTTAAAACTAGTTTATACTTTGATAAAGGAATAGAAATAATTGAATAATTCATACTTTACCTTCAAATAAATTCCAGAAACGAAAAATAATTCAAAATGTGTAAAAGTTCGATTTCACGGTCGCAATGGTAGAAAGTGAAAGTTGTTGCAAATGTAAACTTTAGCTCGGCTAAAAATAGCATCTCCTAGGACACGGCCGACACATTCTGACAAAAGTTAGAAAAATTCAGCTTGGCGCACGCTATTTTTAGACAGTAGCGTCATGTGACATCTATTGACCAATAGATACATGACTCTTCCCATTTTGAAGCACACTTTCATTGCATGTTTTGAAATACTATATTTAGAACTAGGTCAATGTTGTTAGGCTAACTAGAATGACCTCGAAATTCCGCGTATTTTGATATATGGTAAGCTAGGCTCACTGCGGTGTGTAGATCTCGCTACACATCGTTGTGATGGGCATATTTCGGGGTGAAATACATTTTTTTACACACACACACCCACTTCAAATGCAAAAACAAGTGTAAAAACAATATTTTATTGTAAATTTGATAAGTATATTATGTTTATAAGTGGTTAAAGTAATAGAAAAAAAAAAAAAAAAAAATGAATTTTCCGAGGTCGACCATGATTTTTCAAGCTTAGTTCATCGATGCGCCCCCTTAAATAATCTTCTATTGTTGCCCGACAGAGAGAATCTTAGCACACCTTAAGTTACCCACATAGTGTATTACAACCCCTATGAAAATCATTTTAAGTTTAAAAAGGGGAATAACTTTGTGAAGTTTCCTAATTTAAAAACAAAATACCAAAAGTAAGTAATTATGCATGGCAGTTACATGTCCTTTCTAATTTATCTTTAAAAATTATGTTATTGTTGATAAATTATAGCAACAACTTTTTTTTCTTAAAAAATTACCTTCACTCACAGTAAAAGAATATCAGCTATGAAATATAATTTACTTTTAAGTTAAAATGACATTTAAAAAATCCTGTTCAATATTACAAGCCATAATTTTTGGAACCCTATTGGAGGATGGGCATTTGTTGTATTTGGGCCAGTGTCCATTCAGGAAATCGGCCTTCGGACAAACACCATTTCTTCAAGTGTCTTTACGGAATTTGTTGTAGACCCACACCGGTGGAGACGTAATACGTTGCCTGGTGTAGAGTTATACTATCTGACAGTGGCGTAGGCATAACCCCCCCCCCCCCCCATCTAGACCCATCGGTATATATATATAAAAAGTATGAAGGGGGGTGCAAATCGAAAGTTTTTTCCCGGGTAAAAATTGGAACCCTCCCCCCCCCCCCCCCCTCTTGAGACGATCCTGGCTACGCCAATGCTATCTGATAATATATGGTGGCTGGCAGAGATTTATATATATATATATATATATATATATATATATATATATATATATATATATATATATGTGTGTGTGTGTGTGTGTGTGTGTGTATATTTATATTTACTTTAGTGGTTTGGTCCTATGTATGTCGTTTTTTCCCTGTCGTGATTTTTATAACTTCATCCATTAATCTCACGTACTCCTCCACAATCTGCCATCACAAAGCTGGGATGCCAATTAATTACAACGATAATTACTACCTTAATTGTCGGATTATGAGTTTCAATAAAAAATAAGTAACACCTTAAAAGCGCCCTCTTGAACATCAGGGATTGTGGGTTGAATTCTCAATACAAGGGAAAGGGAGGGTGGGGATAATCGTCCTTCACTAAATACCGATAGTGTTTTAAAGCAAAATATTTTCAATCGTAGTATTGGTCGTGTCGAATTAAAAATAAATATGAATTACTGAAAACAACTAAATAGCGGATACACGGTTAAATTTAAATTTAAAGTGGTGATTTTGATTTTGGATTCGGTTTAGAGAAAAAGACAAACTATTAACCTAGCGTCCGTTGTGTTTCTGCCTAAACTGACATGTATCTTGTAAGCAAAGTTTACGCATGTAAATATCGCAAGTCATCCCCCCCTCCCCATATCGGGAGTTTTTCCTTTTAGTTGAATATATTTTTGAACTTCAACTAAAATGGATATGTGTGTGAATGTTTTTTTTTTTTTTGCTTTAGTGTGATCCACCCCCCCCCCCCCCACCCCCACCCCACCTTTAAACGTGTATCGCTACAATGTCTGGTCAAATTTAATTTGAAACCCACAATCTTTAAGACATTAAGATATTCGTTTGTGAATTTTATATGGTTTCAAATGGCAAGAAACATTTGGTAAAGGGAAGTTGCGTTTTTTTTTGTTGTTGATAAAATCGTTAACTTAAAAAAAGGGGGATACTAATTAAAATACAGTACAGACGTCATTTGAAAAGTAGAAATTTGATACGATGTGGGCTTTTTCAAGTTAGTTTCACAATTTTAATTTACATAATTTTATAGAAATCACAGTACCGAAGAGTAATATCGATTTTTTTTCAACCATTATATGTTTTATATTGTCTACACTCAGAATAACCATTTACTTGATTTTTTTAAAAAAGTTCTTTAAGTAAGAAAAATCCCTTTATCTTTTGCCTCACAGAATGGACACTTTTTTTTAAATGCATGGGTAGAAACTTAACGAAATAACTAAAATAAATACGAATCGAACAACTCATACAAAATACACCATCTTTTCGACTGTATTACTTATAAAATGTCTGCAAGTATACAGTAAGTAAACAATTGTGTGCTAGTAATAGACGAAAAGAAAATACAACATGTAATATATTAAATTATAATTGAGACACCTTAGCTTTATTTTAAGTATCGTTATTTAGTAATGTTACAACTTGCTACACTTTCAAATTACCAACACAAAGTTAACAATGTATTTCTTTATCCTATGAAAAAGGTCTTGGAGTGTGCTAATTATAGAGAGAAAGGAGATCCGTGCAAGCATTGTTATGACAAAGTTCGTTTAGAGACCAAGGAAATGAAAGCTAAGTTGGGAGAAGATGTCAAGTATGATGTTCCAATGCAAGAAATTGAGTTTGTTTATAATGGAGAGGCAGCTGACAATAGTGGTGGTAAATTGGTTATCAATATGAACAAGTCAAGACCAAGTTGGTTTTCTAAAAATTTACTTAATAAAACAGGTTGATGTAAATTTCTAGCAGAAAAAAAGGGACAAAAGTAATTTTAGTGAGTGTATGCTATGTACAACATGTATTACGTTGGGAGCCAAAGTGGTATGCGTCCTTCAGTTAGCATTTATTTACTAACGATAATGTGGTGAGTTTAAATGTCATTGGATGCGTATGGTGGCTAAATATATCCTCCCCTCACCCCTCCCCCTTAAGGAAAGACTCCCGAAATAAACAAAATACGTTAACATGTTTTTAAAAGTTGGTCATTTTGATCTTTGGTGATGTGGCCAGGGATGATGTCACAGGTTACGGATATGACAATAAGGATCTTTCATTAACATTTTTCTGTTTAAAAAAAGGAAAATAGTCATTATACATTGGTAATGTCTGGAATGGTTGACAACGTCCCTAGTAGCATATCTGAAATACTTGACCCATTTTATATGTATAGGGATCCAACATGTTCTTTCGAATTTTAGTTTTGTTCTATTATTTTTATTTTATTTTTTTTCATTTTTTTTCTAAAGTCGTTAATATTTAAACATATTTTCTATAAATTATTTCCCCTCACAAAAAAAAACGTGTATACAAACACTCCTAATTAGGTTCAAGGTGGGCCGTTGGATTAGGATCCGTATCAGGAATGAGACACAGATGCCATTAATAAAACAACTTCAATACGTCCCCTGAATGTCTTGTTTATCTTGTCAATGAGTCGTGTTTATGAAATAACTTCGCTAACATAACTGAGGGAGGGATTTGTTGAGAAACATATGCTATTACTAAACGCATACGTGTATTAATGTATTATGGTTTCACTGCAAGAAAAGTTTTTTTTTTTTTACTAATCATATTATTTTCTAATGTTTAACAATTTGTATTAATTAAAGTCAACACCAAATGTGTAGCAAACATTTGGATGGCAACCTACTTTAATTTTTTTCTAATCTAAGAAATAGTAAAAAATAAAAATAATATGTGTATGGTTTTATTTGAAGTTATGTTTTTTAAAGAAAATTGTGCTGTCTTAAAGAAAATTATTCTTTACCGCACGTAAAACAATAATGTAATTCTTAATTGTACTTCGAATATAAAACATTTGTTTTATTTTGTAACAATTTCCATAAGTAGGATTCCAACTCAACTTGACCTGAGTTTCCTCTTCTGCTTAAGCATACTTTAGCAAATTGGACAATAATTAAATCAGGTACTACAGCATCACTTATCACAACATGAATATCGTAAACCTCAGTTGGTTTAAAGAGAAATCACCTACTTTTAATAACATCACATTTTGTTACCTTATTTCATATGTAGTTAGGCTTATATTTAACATTTTTTTTCCGGAAGCTTTTACAGTTTATATCACAATCTTCGACTGGCCACACTTTTGTACAGATGTTCTAACATTGTGTCCCTTTAATGGCAGACGTCTAAACAGAACTGTCTTCTAGCCTTGACATGATGTTCATGATGTTCATCAGGATGTTCAAACATCAAACGGCAATACACGTCAGCGTAGCGACCCTTCCCGGGGACAAACTTTCAAATTTTCGATTTGCACCCCCAACCCTGAAACTTTCGATTTGCACCCCCTCCCCTCAAGTTTTTCTCAATATATTTTGCTATTGTTTGCCTTGGTGTCACCCCCCTAAATGGTGTCACCCGGTGCGGTCCGCCCCCCCCCCC